CTAAACCCTAAACCCTAAGAGGAGCCCAGGAGCTGCCGCGCGCAGGGATGGGCTCCAGGCGAGGCCTCAAAAGGAACCCTTAGGAGGAGCCCTAAAAAAGGAGCCCTTGAACGGGAAGCCTTAAACGGAAAAAGGAACCCTTACAAAGGCCTTAAACAGAAACCCTTAAAACGGGAACCCTTAAAAAGGAGCCCTAAAAAAGGAGCCCTTAAACAGAAAGCCTTAAACGGAAGCCTTAAAAAGGAGCCCTGAAAAGGAGCCCTGAAAAGGAACCCTTAAAAGGAACCCTAAAAAGGAACCCTTAAAGCGGAACCCTTAAAAAGGAGCCCTTAAGAGGAACCTTTAAAAGGAGCCCTTCAAGGATCCATTAAAGCAACCTTAAAAGGCTTTAGGTTTGGGTTTAGGGTTTAGGGTCTGGAGATTACAGCTTCCTTTCACATTCTTTCTTCAACTCCGCCCTCTGCTTCCAAGGACCCTAATACCGCTAGTGTCAGCAAAACCAAGACCGAACCCAGAAGTTCAAAGTTTGCTCACTCCTCCCCTAAGCTATGGTTAGGGCCCTAGGCCTCTTCAGGACCCAGTAAGAAGGTCCCTGGAATCAGAGGGCTGGTTTTGTTTAGGGTTTAGGGTTTAGGGTTTAGGGTCTAGGGTTGTTAGGCATGCCAAAACCAGAACTCTCGTGGGACCCGGCCCCCCCTCCCTCACCATTTTAGGAGAATTTTTCGCGTCGTCGCCTGCATCAAGGTCTTGATGCGGTCGAAGGGGACCACCTCACTCCGTGGTTGCACATGTCGCCGTGTAGGATTCGGGGGTTTAGGATTCAGGGATTGGGGCTTAGGGTTTAGGGTTTAGGGTGTAGAGGTTTATAGGTCTAGGGTTCACAACACAGCCGAAGTCACTCCATGAATTCTGCATATGTATGTTTCAGATGCAACACCTGTTAACACATCATGATATAAATGGTATCACATGGACTCTGGTTTACAGCCTCTTGCGTGCTTTTGAGCATGTGCTACATGGCTTCGACTTGCTCCTATAGGGCCCCAAAAAGCACATAAGCAAAACATAGGATAGGGATATCCCATATAAATCCCCTTATAATGAAGCCCAATAAGGAAGGGATATCCCTATAAAATGCTTATGCTTATGTCCTGTTTGGGGCCCCTGAACCCCTAAACCCTACACCCTAAACCCTAAACCCTACACCCCTAAACCCCTAAACCCTTAAACCCTAAACCCCCAAACCACAAGCACCCTAAACCCTAAACCCCTAAACCCCTAAACCCCTAAACCCTAAACCCTAAACCGACTTGCTCCTAAAGCATGTGCACATACCAAAATGCCAGGCTAATGCTCCCAAGCAGCCACGATGGAACCCGCCACATACCTCAATCAGGCATCTGAGCAGGTTTAGGGTTTTGGGTTTGGGTTTTGGGTTTTGGGTTTAGGGTTTAGGTTTTAGGTTTTAGGAGAATGCGCGATGGGGCCGAAGAGACATCGCAATGGAAATGCAGTACTACTTGCAACAGTACGTATTCTGAAATGCAAAGAGGAAACTAATGTAAGGGCCTTAATAAGTAGAATAGGGTTTTGCGGTATATTCTACTATAACTACAATAAGGAACCACCCCACAAAAAAAGATATAGGTAATTATTAAGGCCCCTATATTAACCGCCGGGATGACTGTGGCGGCACGAGCGGAAGCTCGCAGGGGGCAATGTGCCGCATGCCCGAAACCCAAAACCTCAAGTGAACCTAAACCCCCATAAACCCAAAACCCAAACCTCAAGTGAACCTAAACCCAACACCCCAAGTGAACCTAAACCCCAAACCCAAAAGCCCAAGCGATCCCCAAACCCGACACCCAAAAGCCCAAGTGAACCTGAACCCTAAACCCAAAACCGACACCCGAAGTGAACCTAAACCCCAAACCCGAAACGCAAAAACCCAAGTTAACCTAAGCCCTAAACCCGAAACCTCAAGTGAAGCTAAACCCTAAACCCGACACCCCAAAACTCCAAGGGAACCTAAGCCCTAAACCCGAAACCCAAAACCCCAAGTGAACCTAAACCACGAATCCGCCAGCGTGAGGAGACTGCAATCGGCCATCTTGGTCGGCTTTTAGGGTTTAGGGTTTAGGGTTTAGGGTTTAGGGTTTAGGGCTGCGACCGGCCATGAACATCGGTTTGGGGCTAAGGGTTCAGGGCTACTAAACCACACTCCCTGTCGAGTGTAAGCTAAAACTACCAGAGACCTTGAATCTTGCACAGCCTAACCCTAAACCCCAAACCCTAGACCCTAAACCCTGAAACCTTGAATCTTACACAGCCTAAGCCCGAAGTAGAACACGCTACAATGCTAGGATTAGGGGGACCCTTGGGGACATAGACCCTCTCAATAAGGTCCCTTTTAAGAGAGCCAAAAGTAGGGTTCACAAGGAGTACCCTTTAAAGGGTTTAGGGTTTAGGGTTTAGGGTTTAGGGTTAATAATACTACCTATTACAAAGCCCAGATGCCCAGTCAGAGCGGAAACGGCCCTCTCGTAGCCAGAGATGTCACGCCGCGCCGCTCCACTCATGGCTCCCACTTAGACGGTTATCACTATACTATGGTACCAACCATCAAGAGTATAATATCAGGTGTGTATATATGTATATATATTGCCCGAAATCCCTTAAACCCTAAACCCCTAAACCCTAAACCCCTAAACCCCAAAGCCCCAAAGTCCCTAAAAGCTTCTAGCAGAGTTCCTGGTTTACTTTTTTAAGGAACTATGTATAGAAAGCTATAATAAGTTTAGGGTTTAGGATTTAGGGTTTAGGGGTTTAGGGTTTAGGGTTTTAAGGAGACCTCAAAAGGTAGGTAGTTCTTTGGAGTCTCGGGTCTTCGGGTAAAGGGGGCAAAGGGGGTCGGTTCAACGGGCTTTGGCTTGCTTTGGGCTCGCAGTCCTAGGGTTTATGGGCTTCGGGTTTCTGGGTTTATGGATTTAGGGTTTCTGAGTTTATGGGCTTAGGATTTAGGCGTTTATGGGTTTACGTTTTAGGGGTTTAGGGTTTATGGGTTTATGGGTTTAGGGTTTAGGGAGTTACGGGCTTAGGGGTTTTATCCTGGTGTGGATGAGAAGAAGGCCGCTAAAGGTTGGGAGGTGTTTCTACAAAAGGGCCTGGAACACTAGAGATCAAGAAGCAACTAAGGGTTTTCGGTTTCTGGTTTCGGGCTGAGATATCAGGAGTTGTGTCGAACCTTTTACAACTAGTTGACGTGGCTGTATTCCGACAAAGGAACGCCTTGCGCAAGACTCAGCCAAAGGCTGCAGGCAGGACAAGGAAAAGCCTCAAGGAAGCAAACAGAACCGTCAATCATAAAGCCTAAAGCGCGAACTAAGTAGTACGCCCTAACTGCCTTACCAAAAAAAGTATGCAGGCGGCTGCAAGTTCTGATTCTCGACATGAAGTCTGGACCACAAGAGCATGTAATCCCTAAACCCCCGAAACCCACAGAATGATACACCCTAAACCCTAATGTAGGGGCTTTAATAATTAGAATAGAGTTTGGGGAGCCATTATACTCTAATTATAATACGGAACCCCCAAACCAATATAGGCAATTATTAAGGCCCTATCTTAAACCCCAAGCGGTAGTGCTTCTGGTCTCTTTCGGCTCTGGGCCACTTCCAGGCGGCCGGTGACGCACGGAGTGATTCGGTGCTGAGATGTCCAGTCGAAGTGACACAGCCCTAAATCGGCGCCTAAGGGCATATAAGGCTTATTCTGTGCAGGGTGTGCGGTTTAGGCCCTAAGCCTCAAACCCTCCACAGAATAAACCCTAAACCCTAAACCCCTAAACCTCAAAGCCCCAACTTCAGGGTTCACGCTTCAGGAGTCTGCGCAAGGCCTGACTCAGCACGGTTTCGGGTTTAGGGTTTAGGGCTTAGGGTTCAGGGTTTAGGGTCATAGACTTGAAACGTAGGGGCCTTAGTAGTCGGAATTAGCGAGGGAGGCAGTTGACAGAAATTGACACCATGCTGTGAGCCAGCGTTCGCATCCCTGCCCCAAACCCTAAACTTAAACCCCTCAATCCTAAACCCTAAACCCCTAGACCCTAAACCCTAAAACCCCGAACCTAAACCCTAAAACCCTGAACCCGAGGACCCTAAACCCCCAAACCCCCAAACCGTGTACAATCAACCCTTCAGCCCTGAGAACTTGAACCTCGAAACTCCGAAATCCGAAGGGGTTTAGCGTTTAGGGTTTAGGGGTTAGGGGTTTAGGGGTTTAGGGTTTAGGGTTTAGGGGTTTAGGGTTTAGGGGTTAGTGTGTTATCTAGGGGCCTTCATAATTAGAATAGGGTTTGGGGGGCTCCTTTAAAGGGTTCCTTAAAAGGGATACTATAAACTATAAGGGTTACTATAAAGGGTTAGGGTTTAGGGGCCTTAATAATTAGAATAGGGTTTTGGGGTACAGTATACTATAACTCTAACAAGGAACCCTGAACTAGTATTGGTAACTGTTCAGGACCCTATACTGCATACTATAACTCTAATAAGGAACCCCCAAATTAGAATTGGTAATTATTAAAGCCCCTGTACTGCATACATCTCTGACAGCGCTGGGGCTCCAGCATACCCTTGGGGCCAGCCTCTTCAGCAGAGTGGTGGTAGTGGTAGCAGTAGTGGTAATGAAAGTGGTGGTCGTAGTAGTAGTAGTAGTAGTAGTAGTAGTAGTAGTATTGGTAGTGGTAGTGGTAGTGGTAGTGGTAGTAGTAGTGGAAGTAGTAGCAGTAGTAGTAGTAAGTAGGTAGTAGTAGTAGTAGTAAGTATAGTAGTAGTTGGTGATCGGTTGACGGTCGGAACAGCAGCAGTGGTGATATACGTCAGAATAAATGACTCAGTTATAGAAGTAGTTAAACCTGGAATCATCGTCGCCAGACTACCCAGCTCTCAAAATTGGCAGTGCATGTAGTGGCCCTGAGCTGTTTAAGGTGATAAGTAACAATACAATATGTGAGAACCGGCAAGAGAGGCATCGTAACGTGCAAATGCACGTAAGAACAGGTGACAGTGATGTACGCACATATTCTGTGTCTGAAGGTCCAGGCTATGGTTCTTCAAGTTGCTGGAGAGACTACCGGCACGACCGTCGGTGCACAGGACGCTGGAAGGCTAAAGCATAAACTCCAAGCCCTGAACTCGAGCCTGTCACAGAACGTTTAACACTCAATCTAAGACTGAATGCGAGTTCGCAAGGAGCCGCTCATGGAAGCAGGCATGGACTCGCTCTCGGCTGCTCATCTTCGATTGCTGCAACCGCTGCGAATGGACATGCACGCATTCTGTGTGAAAGGAAGCATGTATTATGCATATATGCATGCATGTATTTGCGTATGTGTGTGTGTATATATATATATATGTATATGTTGTGTAAATATATCAATATATGTATATTACATATATATATATATATGCATATAGGACTACTTGCATGTAGCTGTGCCAGCTGTGCACCCGTTTGGTTTGCATACATATATAGAAGATGACCGGTAGGTAAGTCATTGTGGGTATCCCGAAGCTTGAAATGAGAGATGAATGCCACAAGCAGCTAACGATTGACCTTTCACCGCCCGGAGCAGCGTTGCGCATCGTGTCGCCAAGGCTGTCGAGTTCCGCAACCGCCTGTCCAATGAATTGCAAGGGGTCAAGCTGCCCAACACATTGATCTTCGACTACCCGACAGCTGCAGCCATCAGCTTCTGATCTGAATGCTGTTAAGCATAAGATAGCAACGATAGGAGTTGTAGTAGGAAAGGGTTGCCGAGAAGTATTATCAGTGTTGACAACCATAGCAGTTACCGGCGCCACCATTAGCATCGTCACCATTATCAGATTCATCGCTTTGAAGAAGAAGAAGATCAATGCTCATGATCATGGTGATGGTGATGGTGATGATGATGAGGAGGATGATGATGACGATGATACTCGTTGCCATAACCACCATCATCATCATCGTCATCATCCTCATTATGATGTTCACCGTCTTCGTCTTTGTCATCACCTGCATCCTCATTACTGTCATGATCATCGTGATCGTCATCGTGATTATGTCACTCCTGCTCCTGCTCCTCCTCCTCCTCCTCCTCCTCCTCACCATCATCATCATGATCATCACCATCATCATCATCACCATCATCATCATCATCACCACGGCATCAGCGGCAGGAGGAGAGGAGGCCTTGGGAGGCGTCAACACCAAACGAACTACTAGTGGCAATATCAGCAGCAATAGGTGCAAGGTGTAATATGTGCTCGCTTCCGACAGCAGCAGCAACAAGAGCAAAGACAACAGCAATCAGAGTTTCAGAGGCCATAGAGTGCTCTCGCCATCAGCATCGCATAGGGGGCCTCAATAATTAGAATAGGGTTTGTGGGTATATTATACTATAATTATAATAAGGAACCCCGAAAACCCTATTCTAATCATTTGGGTATATTATACTATAATTATAATAAGGAACCCCCAAAACCCTATGCTAATCATTAAGGCATGTTCGCGGCGTCTCAGCTGAGCCAAGTGGCGGGCGCAGGACAAGTGGCTCCGGTGCCAGAGCAGCAAAAGGGAGAGAAGAAGGTATTCTTGTGTTTTCATGGATGCATAGCCGGATAAAAGAAGGCTCCACTCAGCCAAGATCCCAAACCTCAAATTGACTCAGGTGGGTGCTCCCGGGATCAGTGCATCACAGGTCGAAGCCTTGGTGCTTGAGATCGCGAGCGAAGTCACCGGTCACGGAGTGGATCCGCAGGATTGGGGGTTTAGGGTTGAGGGTTTAGGATACAGGCTACCTTGTCGGACACGGTGGGGCTACAAGGCTTTACGGCGGTTTTTCGTAACTATATCGAGGCAAGCATGACTCTGTGAAACGCTTCGTGTCAGGAGCCATTGATGGACTCTGGTCTCGACTCTTTGGCCGCCGTCGAATTCCGAAATCGGCTGTCCAACGAGCTCCAGGGCATCAAGTTGCCCAACACGTTGATCTTCGACTACCCGACGGTCGCCGCCATCAGCAACTACGCCGTGGCACAGCTGGGCCCTGCAACTGCCGCACTGGGCCCAGTCTCTGGCGGATCGTTCGTGGCCTCTGGCGCCTTTGCCTCAGTGATGGGCTTGGCTGCCAGTTTGCCCGGCCGCCGCGACGATGGCTTTTGGGAGGACCCGCATGTGTTGCCACATGTCTTCTTTGCATGCTGTCGGAAATCAATTCCAATTGTGTGCTGCAATGTCTGCAACCGCTCTCGCGGGTTGAGGACTTGGTGGAGAAGAAGGACTCTGTCATTGAGATTCCCTTCACGCGCTGGGATCTCGACGTCTATTACAGCGCGGATCCGGATGCACCCGGCAAGACGTACGCAAAGCACGGCGGCTTCATCGAGGGTGCTCCAACTGCTTTGGGGGGAGCGAAACGCAACGGATGTCACGTGTGGAATTGTAGGGTGTAGGGTGTTGAGGGGGATTTAATCGAAGCCAAACCGGAACAGTCGACCGAGGCGCTGAGCTCTTCGATCCCTCCTGCTTCGCCCTCTCCGCTGCAGAGGCTGCGACCATCGATCCTCAACAGCGGTTGCTGCTTGAGGCAGCGCACACGGCCTTCCTGGCCTCCGGCAAAGAACGGGAGCAGCTGATGGGCTCGGACGTGGGTGTCTTCGTGGGGCAGTGCCAGTATGACCGCGGCTCAAAGAATGCAGTTTCAAGTTGTAGTCACATGTTCTGTAAGTATAAGAAAGGAGATGCTACATCAGCCCAATTTGCATCATGAGCTGGAGAGATGAAACCCTGGGTGTGCAGGACTGGTTCGTGATGGTGTCGGTGGGCGACAAGTTCAATCCATACACTGGAACCGGAATTTCAGCTTCCATCAGTGCGAACCGAACCTCGCTCGCCGGCCGCATTCAAATCTGGGTGCGGTGGGGTGTGTATATATATATATATGTATAGGTATACATTCATGCATGTAGGTATACATTTGTGCAAGTTCGAGCAAATTTGTATGAAGTATATGCCTGTGCTTGATAAGAGGTACAGGTCTAGGTAAAAAGGTGCATTTAGGTCTGTGTGTATGTACGTGAGCCTGCAGCAGCATGTAATGTGTGTGTGTGTGTATGATTGATTCATTGGTCCGTTCGTTCATGCAGGTGCGCACTTGGTCCTGTGTCACGTCGTGGTCCGTCATGGCAGGGAAGAGAGCGCGCACATCCTTACGGTTTCATTTGGCTGCCCAGGTACATCTTCGGAGTGAAGGGCCCAAGCTTGACATGTGACACGGCCTGCTCTTCCTCGCTGGTGGCTGCCGATGCGGCGTCTTGGAAGCAGACCAAAGCAAGCACAGCATCACGAGCACCAACACCGGGTCACAGCAGAGCAGCGGTACGAACGGGAGCTGTCCGAATCACGCTCAGTCTTTCCGAATGCTCGTGCACTCGAGGCGCTGTCTTCCCTTCGCAGGGGAACAGCAGAAGGCGCCCTGGCTGCCGGAACCAACCTCATTCTTGGTACTGGTCCGTACATCAGCTTCAGCAAGGCCGGGGTAGTTGAAGAGCATCGATAGCCTTCACAGACAAGACGACATTGAAGGCAAATGAGGGTACAAGGAACCGATAGGAACCATCTTTAGAAGTTCCAAGCTGTCAGGCCAAGATGCTTTCCGAGGATGGCCGTTGCTTCACCTTCGATGCCTCGGCAAATGGCTACGCACGTGGAGAGGGTGTGGGAGCAGCGTTCCTTGCCGTCCTGGCGGATGGGGACGGAGATGTTTCCGCCCGAGCCCTTCTCCGGGGAACGGCTGCAAATCAGGATGGGCGCTCGGCATCCCTCACAGCCCCCAACGGTCCATCACAGCAGGCAGTGATCCGACGAGCGCTCTCGGAAGCCGCGGCCAGCGTGGGCGAGGTGGCTTTGATTGAGTGCCATGGCACCGGCACTGCGCTTGGGGATCCCATCGAAGTGGACGCTCTCAAGACGGTGCTTGGCGAGGCTTCATCTGTGGCTTTGGGAGCAGCGAAGACCAACATTGCGTGCCTGACCTGAAGAACGATGCCATGCTTTGAGTTCTGACTTCTAATTAGCGGCCGTCATGACCATATACAATAGACACTTGCTGCTCTTGCCACCAGTTGTTGTGCACACTGAGCTTCAACTCAGCCGTTGCCTTCCCACTGCAAGGCACTTGGAGGGTTCAGCAGGCATTGCTGGCTTCCTCAAGAGTGTCCACATGTTGGAGAAGAAGCAGGTTCCTGCGAACTTGCACTTCCAGAGCTTGAACCCGCATATCGACTTGGAAGACTTCCAGGCTCGTCGGCTCTAAGCCTCTAAACCCCTGAGCCGCAGCTTTTCTGACAGTTCCCGAACTCCGAGGCCGTCATTCCAGTGGAGCTGCACGAGCTTCCTTCCGGCAACGTCGTTTCAGGCCCTGTCGGGTTAACGGAGCCGTGGTAGGACTTCTTCTGATGACAGGTGTACCAGGCGTCTGAGCCTCCTTCGGAGTCAGCTTTCCAAGCTCTCAAGCCGGCCAGGCCTCTCCTCCTTCGGCTTTGGTGGGACGAACGCGCACCTGACCTTCGGCAACTCCTCGGGTCGCGAGAGCCAGCGCATGACCGTCTCAGAACCAGCAGCTGATGAGGGAGCCATCACTTTCAGGCCCGGAGGTTGCAGGCTGCATAGGCCAAAGCCTCGTGTTCGATGCATGGCATTGCAGGCACGCTTCTTTCCCTTGGCGTGAGACGGCCTACCGGTGCCTGCGACGGAAGATCACGGAAGGTCGAGATGTGCACTACGAGTGCACCATCAAGTCAGAGCCTGGGCAGCAGTGCTCAGCCAGAGTGGGGGCCTATGTAGGGCGTGGGGGTTACTCAGAGACTTACTCTGAGGGGTGGATCTTTTGTCAGATCCCAAGCCCTAGACCTAAACCCTAACCCTTAAACCCTAAACCCTAAACCCTTTGAAGCTCAACCCTAATCACAAGGACATCTTCAAAGTCTGTGCCGAGCATGTGGCCTTCAACGAGATTGTGGTGCCAGGCATACATGGCATACAGCTTGCCAGCTTTCCGGAGATCCGGTTTAGGTTTGGGATTTCATGGTTGCGGGGCACGGATCATACCAGTGCCATCCAGGATCTCCCTTAAATCCTTTTTTTTGGGGATTCCTTTCCTGGAAGCTTCCCACATTCCAGCCTTTCCGCATGTGTCGAGGCGTGGTCTACGTCGAACATGCAATGGAGGCCTGCCACATCGGATCTAGCTTCATATAATGTGTTCTCACATGCTGTAACGTTTTATGGCATGCTGCCATGCTAGTCTACACTGTACAATAAGACTGCAATATACTATAGAATGTCATTACATACCGTTCCATACTATACCATGTTATGCCATGATCTACTCTCGTACTGCAAAATACAAAGACTGGTCTAGCAGTTTAATTGAAACGATGGGATGCATGGCTACATGCAGTTGAGTAAGTGCGGGCGTTCTCACACATGTGTGTGAATGTTTGTACACGTGCCGGCAGAAGCGAATGTAGTGCAATGGAATGAAACGGAAGGCAATGCAATGTGGCTGGTGGAACGGAAAGACGCACGCTCTATGCTCTATGCTAGGACATGGATTGGCAGAGTATGTGCAGCCTTGCGGGGTGATGTAACGTATACCGACGTGCACACCCAGAGAGATATGCTTATAACGGATTGATAAAGAGGCAGACAGACAGAGACAGACAGAGACAGACAGAGACAGAGACAGAGACACAGACAGACAGACGGACAGAAAGACAGACAGACCGACAGACAGACGGATGGACGGATGGACGGATGGACGGATGGACGGATGGACGCATGGACGCATGGACGGATGGACGGCTGGACGGATGGACAGACAGCTAGCTGGCTAGGTAGGTAGAGAGAGATAGATACAGCCATAAATTGACAGACTGGCGACATAGAGACAGAGAGAGACATACACGCAGATTACAGATATATAGAGGTATACAGCTATACAGATATATAAAGATGTATAGATGTATATACGTATATATGTATATATATATAGACAAAAGATAGACGGATATATGGACATATAGATATGCAGACATAAAGCATATAGACACATAGTTACACAGATACATAGACACAAAGATACATATCTAGAAAGATATGTATAGGCAATTATAGGCAAATGGATCTATAGATAAGCAGGTGTTCGTATCAGCATATATATATATATATACACATACATACACATCTACATCTGCATCTATTTCTATATCTATATCTTTATCTATACATATATAAATATGTATATATATACACATACATATACATACATATACATACATATGTATACATATGTATACATATATATATATATATATGTACGTACACATCTCCAGTCGTAAGTGGCATGTACTTCGCGTTGCCGCAGTGCTCAGGTGTGGGAGCTCGCCGAGGCCGGAAACCTTCCTGGGCCGCAACAATCGCAGCGTAAGCTTGACACTATACGGCCTTCTTAGGGTTTAGGGGTTTAGGGGTTTAGGGTTTAGGGTTTAGGGGTTTAGGGTTTTGGGTTTAGGATTTATGGTTTTTGGCTTTGAGGTTTGAATTTAGGGGTCTAGGGTTTAGGATTTAGGATTTGAGGTTTAGGGTTCAGCGGTTTAGGGTTTACGGCTGGTGACCATTTAGAGATGTCAGAGATGCCTTCTCGCTGCCACTTCTTTTTCATTCGGCAAACCGGCTCATGCCAGATTTCTTCCCAATCATCTCGATCTCTCCGCACATGTTCAGGTTCGGAGACGCGCGGCGAAATTTGGGAACTTCAGAATTGAAGAGTCATGGTCTCTCATGATACTGTACTTTGGGACCATTGTGTCGTTTTCATCACGTGCCGCGAAACGCGACCTTTGTCTTATCTCACACCAGCACGTCAACCTCAACTCTTTCAACCCTACATCCCAAATCCTAGAACCCACATCCTAGAATCCGAAAACCTGACCCTAAACCCTAAACCCTACACCCAAATCCTACAACCCACATCCTAGAATCCTAAAACCTGACCCTAAACCCTAAACCCTAAACCCACATTCCTAGAACCCACATCCTAGAATCCCAAAGCCTGAGCGTCCTGAGCCATAATTCCTAAAATCCGTATCCTCCAGGCCCTGGGTAGCTGGGAAGCCAGCGACGGCCCTTCCGGCGAAACGGCGCTGGCCCTGCGCTGCGAGTTCGGGGGCCTGGGAAGGGTTTAGGGTTTACGGTTTAGGGTTTAGGGTTTCGGGTTTAGGAAGGGAAGGGCCAGCAGAGCGCCTAGTCCTAAAGTTTGAGATTTTTTGTTAGGTGTGGGGCGTCCAGGAGGATAGGAATAGATGCAAGCGGAGCTTCTAGATTCTCCACTCGTACCCTTGTGCCCCTTTTTTGTTCTGGGGCCTCCTTAAACCCTAAACCCTAAACCCTGAACATAGACCGGCACCTTAATTATGAAGGGTCTTCATTAAGGGGAAGCGAGGCCTGAGCCCCGGCCTTGCTCCTGTTTCGGGATAATACCGGGGCCTCAATAATTACCTATAGTAGTCTGGGGGTTCCTTATTGTAATTAGTAGTTTGGGGTTCCTTATTGTAATTAGTAGCTTGGGGGTTCCTTATTGTAATTATAGTAGAATGGGCCCCCAAACCCTAGTCTTATTCTGAAGGCCCCTAGATTAGGGCTATCCACAGCAGGACCAGGATCCAGCACCATCGCTGACGCAGGGCCGTAAGCCCCAGCCGCCCTAGTCCTTGAAGCCTTAGTCAGACCTGGTTCAAGCCACTTCGTTATGTTATGCCCCACCAACATCCTGAAGCCCTCGAACCCCAGAGAACGAATTGCGCCTTAATTGCGTAATATACCTTAAAGTATAGGGGCCTCAATCTTATGATTTAGTGTCCATTCCTTCATTAAGGGGTATTGGGCTCTCTGGGATCCTCAAAGCCATATCTTCGAGGCACTGGAGTTGGAAATGCAGCCACCCCGCTGCGCCCATGGTCCTCCGCCCGAGCGAGGACGGCAGGAGCGATCGGAAGTTTCACGGGTCTCGTGCCTTCTCCGATTTCGTGTGTGTTTCGGGTCTCATAGTTAGTGGGAAGTATAGGTTTTTAATGTTCGGGGTCACGAGGGTTTTGAGGTCGTAGGCCTTCAGTGGACTCACTGCCAGGCAATCGATCCGATCCATTAGTGGGGTTGGCCTGACGGATCACCTTTCGTGTTTGCGCGCGTGTGTATGTTTGTGTGTGTGTGTGTGAGTGTATGTGTTGTTTGCTACCTCCTTAGAAATTGCTCATGCATAAGGCAATCCTGCAGCCTTCAACCCTAGGCAGGACTTTGTGGAATTAGTTCTCTTGAAGGTCATGTACTGGGTAAAAACTCGTAGATATTGATCGAGCCTTCCGACGGAGACACGGTGCATGCCGAATGTGAACTGTGAAAGCGTGTCCTTTGCATACTAAGAGAGGACACTTAGCTTGGCCGCCTGTGGACACCCTTCGCATTGTGCTTGTTGCACGGTGCAGGTTCGGTTCAGCCCCTGCTAGCCTAGCAGAACGGTCGCCATGGGAAACCTGTGTGAGTGTTGTGGGATCCGAGACAAGGGGCCGACGGGCTTGCCACAGTATGGTAGTGGTGGCAATGCCGAGCATGGGTATGCCTTGGCCATAAATGACAGGGCCACGATGGAGGATGCAGTCGCCATCCAGGACAACGTGGCCGGGTACACGTGCCTTGCCGTCTTAGACGGGCACGGAGGGCACAAGGCAGCCACACTGGCTCAGTCGCACTTACCAAAGCAGCTGAATCAGCAGTCTGCTGAAGATGATGATTCAGCTGCTTTGGTAAGTGCGACTGAGCCAGTGGCAGACGAGCAACAAGGAGCAGGCCGCGATTGATGCCTTCCATGCAGTGGAAGAGCTCATGCACGAGGAATTGGCCGGCGAGGCCAGTATGTTGCCTTCCGGAACATCATCCGGAACTGTCGCATGCGTCGCACTTTTTCAGGACAAGAAGGTTATCCTGGTGAATTTGGGAGACTGCCGTGCGGTTGTCTTTGAGTCATCGAAGTTATCCACCAAAACCAAGGACCACTCCCCGGAGAAGAACGAGCTGGAGAAGCAGAGGTTGCACCAGACCGGAGTGAGTGTTGAGTGTGGATACGTTGATGGCAAAGTGCAGGTCTCCCGGGCCTTCGGTGACATCACGGCCCAGACCGGACACAAGATCCAGGGCCTCATGTGCACACCGGAGGTCACAGTCGTGGAGGTCAAGGAGACGACTGAGTTTCTCATCCTGGGCACAGACGGCATATGGGATGGGGTACAAGACCAGACAGCAATAACCACGGCCAGGAAGGTGCTTCGTGAGACACGGTCTCCAAAAGCGGCAGCGAAAGCAGTCGTGGAAGCTGCCAAGGCGGACAACGCTGCGGTGATCGTCTTAGCGCTCAACGTCCCAGAGCCGCCCCCTAAAAGGGATGCGGCTCAGAGCCGCTTCCGGCAGAGCTCCAAGACAGAGTGAAGCTATTGATTCATTTTGCAAGTGCATGTCGCGGATTCCTCGCCGGTTCACTCCGGCTGTTCCAGGAGGCTCCACTTGGTTACCTTTGAAGCAATTTGAAGAAAAGAGCTGCTTCCTCCTGCACCTATGGCTTTCCGTGGACTCAGACGCGGGTTGACATAAGCAATCCCTATGCCTTATGCCGCATGGTGCGCGTTTGTGGCCGCCGCCAAAACCACGACACCCCTATGGTCGATATAGCTTAGACTCAAATAGCAAACAATCAGATCACAACGCCTAGAAACTCCCCAACCCTCATGCCCTAAACCCTCAAACCCCAAACCCTAAACCCTCAAACCCTAAACCCTAAACCCCTAAACCCCTAAACCCTAAACCCCCAAACCCTAAACCCTAAAGGGGCGCCATTACACTTAAAAAAGGCCACTGAAGCCTTGCCTGGAGGAGGGAGCTCGACGAGGTTGTTGAGGCAGGGCAGCTCCAACTCTGCTACGCCCTTCGTCGCGATGGTGCTGGAGCCAGGCCGGAATTAGGGTCTAGGGTTGAGGGTTTAGGGTTTAGGGTTTGGGGTTTGGGGTTTAGGAGTTTAGGAGTTTGAGGGTTTAGGTTTTAGGGTTTAGGGTTCCGGAGTTTAGGGTTTGAGGGTTTAGGGTTAAGGGTTTGAGGGTTGGAGGGTTTGAGGGTTTAGGGTTTGGGGTTTAGGGTTTAGGGTTTAGGGGTTTAGGGTTTAGGGTTCAGGAGTTTAGGGTTTGAGGGTTTAGGGATTTAGGGTTTAGGGTTCTGGGGGTTGAGGGTTTAGTGTGGGTTTAGGGGTTGGGGTTGA